CTCTCATATACCTGTTTCTCACGAAGGTACGAACTCACTCGCGGAACAAAACAGTTACGATCAGAGTGCAAAGAACAAGGTCGTGTGTAGAGGGGGTATATTGTTACTGCAGTGATGTTTCCACTACAGCTTCTAGGTAAGAAGATCTAGTAATTGAGGGGATACTGTGAGAATCGGAACCTTCATCAATCGTCAAACCCAAGCGAATCCATCACGCCGAACTTTCGTCACGTGAAATCATCCGTCGTAATAATCAGAGGTGCTCACCGTGGGGCACAGCGCCTATCGGCTAGATGCGCCGTCGATCTCCTTTTGAGCATCGACAGCAGCGGCCGGGTCTGACTCTTTGTCCTTGTTGCCGGTCTCCTGGCGGATCGGTAGCTCTGAGCTCGTCTCACCAGCAGTCTTTGTAGAGTCATCAACTCCAGCAACCGGAGCGTTAGCGAAGTGTACTTTGCGGTCTGGCGTCTCCGAGATCCTTCTAAGTTCGGTGACAAACGACTCGCCCCACCATGCGCTGTGTGAAGTTAGAACGTGTCGATCGAGATGTGATCGTGGGCACTTACCTAGTGTATTTCCGGACGTATTTGGACAGCTTCTGGTAGTTTAGACTACGTTGCTCATCGCCCATGGTGACTGCGTCATGAATGGCATCTGCCAACTCCTCGGTGTTCCATGGGTTGACGATAAGACTGCCGTTCAAGCTCTGTGCAGCACCAGTGAACTCGGACAAGATCATGACACCGTGTCGCTTCTCCTGTGTCGCGATGTACTCGTAGGACACCAGGTTCATACCGTCGCGTGTCGAAGATACGAGACAGACATCTGAGACGGCGTAGAGCGCAATAAGCTCGTCGAAAGAGACCGACTTGTGCATGAAGTGGATAGGCATGAACTCGATAGTGCCGAACTTGCCATTGATGCGACCAACAAGCTCATTGACAACTGCGCGGAGGTTCTGGTATTCCTCGACGTCTTGCCGAGAAGGAACGGCGACTTGTACAAGCACGACCTTGCCGATCCATTCGGGATGCTCTGTGAGGAACACCTCGAGAGCGTGCAGCTTCTGTGGTACACCCTTGATGTAGTCGAGGCGATCAACACCAACGATGAGCTTCACACCCTGGAACTTCTTCTCGAGGGCTGCTATCCGCTCTTGTACCTTGGGCTTCTGGAGACCCTCGTCGAACTTCTCGGGATCGATACCGATAGGGAAAGCGCCGACAGTAACGACCTTGCCCTTGAACTCGACTCCGTTTGGTGTTGTGGCAAGTCCCCTGGTCTGAGTTAGCAAGTGCGAACTCTGCCCTTAGGCTGATACCTACAGAATGCGCGAGCAACTGCTCAGGAAATGGCGAGCATAGTCGTATGTGTGGAAGCCAATGAGATCGCAGTGGAGAACGCCGAGCAGGATCTCATTGCGGACCGGCAGGATTCGGTAGATCTCGGAACTGGGGAAAGGTGTGTGCAGGAAGAAGCCAATCTTGACATTCTTCTTGGTGTTGCCGAGCTCTTCGCGCAACATAGCGGGCATGAGCATCAGGTGGTAGTCGTGCACCCAGACCATGTCGTTGTCTTGTACGTCCTTTGCGACGGCCTTTGCGAACAGGCGGTTGGCCTCGGTGTAGGCGTCCCAAGCGGACTCGTCGAAGGTAATCTCACCGGGGTGGTAGTGGAAGAGCGGCCACATGATCTCGTCTACAATTGTTAGTGCTGGCAGCGATATGGTTCTACATAGGTAATCTCACTTGAGAATCCGTTGTAATGCCTGTCTGCGAGCTCATCGTCGAGCATAACAGGTACCGCGTTGTACTTCTCCTTGAGCTGGTCGTTCAAAGTCTTTGTCTCGTCCTCGGGGACTTCAAGTCCGGGCCAGCCATACCACTGGAAGGTGGTGGTCTTGGAGAGTCCGCTCAAACCGCTGACCAGTCCTCCCGAGGACATGGACATGTCGTACTTGCCCTCATCGGAGCGCTTGATGGTGATGGGCAGTCGATTCGACACGAGCAGCAGACGTCCCTCCGACGACTCGGGCTGCTTGAGGGTTGTGGGCGCGTTAGACATCTTGGCGGTGGATATGTTGGATAGTGGGGGTTGTAAGGTGGTTGAGTCGCGACACTCCTGACAGGAAATTTATCTGCGGCGTAGGATGTTGGGCGAGGTCAGCATTCACCTCCGCAACGTGGCTGGGGCCGGTGAGCAGGCGGTGTGGGTAGGTTTCCTTTGGCGCGAGGGGGGAGGGATCAGTTATTTTAATTGTGGTGCTGGCGTGACGAAAGAATGATAATAGATCAAGGCCCGCTCGAAGGTGGAGGCGGCTTCTCGCAGGTTCCGAGCTCAAGCGGCCAGAGTTGGCAGACGGCAGGGCGCAGTTACAACCCGGGCAGATGCTAAAGTTGAAGATGACTGGGGCTAGGGGCGGTCGGGACTGGCGGCATGCAGCTCGGTCGCTGACAGGTGTAGGCCGCGTTGGAAAACACTGAATGAAGCTGGCGGTGTCTGTGTGAAACTTGGGAATAAATGTGACGTCGGTCGTGGAGCTGCCCAACCCAGCAGACGCGGGGCGCTCACAGACCAACTCGACGTCAAAGGGCGGCGCCCAGCATCATCTATGGGCATCTGCATTGGCAATACCATGCGATTCATGCAATCAGCAGGAAGGAATGCGATTCAACTGATACACTGACATCGCCGTGGCTCGACACGACAAATTCCCCGCAGGCCCTGAAGCCACTTGACGCCATTGGATCTCTCCGCGGAGTCACGTGTACGCTACCGGCGACGTGCCTGCCCTAACCGCCGCGTCTATCGCGTACGGCCGTCGATCATCAACACCATCTACGAACGCGCCGCCCATCATGTCGGATTCCGAAGCAGACCGGCCCTCTGAGGCGACCATTTCAAACAAACTGCGCGACATTGTCATCGCGATCCACAAATCTGGAAAAAGCGATGATCTGACTGTGAAGCGCGTTCGGGCGCGCGCAGAGAAGGAACTAGCCCTAGACGAGGGCTTCTTCAAGACAGACTCGACATGGAAAGAGCAATCACAGAAAGTCATTGTAGACGCAGTGGTATGAGGCCCGACTTCCAATTCCTTACCGTGTACTAAAAATATGTAGGAGAAGTTCTGCTCCGATGAGCCTACACCACAGTCTACTCCCAAAAAAGCCGCCCCGAAACCCAAAGCGAAGCCCGCCGAGAAGAAGACCAAAGCTGCCACCGAGAATGCCAGAGGCACCAAGCGCAAGGCTGCAGCACCCGCCAAGAAACCCAAGAAGCGCGCAAAGACCGAGTCCGAAGAATCTGAAGCTGAGCTCTCAGAACCACCCGCCGAGATATCCGATGCAGAGAGCGAGCCACCCAAGAAGTTAGTACGGCGGGGGAAGAAGACTGTGACAGAAGACTCGGACGAGGAGGATTCGCCGAAGCCGACGTCCAGACCCGGCGCTGTGGTTGACGATGAGAGCGACGTCGAACCCGAGCCAGCGAAGAAGGCAGAGACAAAGGGCGACGTATCTGACAGTGATCTGTCCAGCGTCATAGACGAAGAGCCCAAGAAGAAGAAGAAAGTCGCTGCAGCAAAGGGCAAGAAGGAAAAGGCCCCGGCGAAACCGAAAGCGGCGCCCAAAGCGAAGACCGAGGACGATCCCGACACCGCTGAAGTCAAGCGACTCCAAGGCTGGCTCGTGAAGTGCGGCATTCGAAAAGTCTGGTCGCGCGACCCCGAACTGTCCCAGTGCGACACCTCGAAGGACAAGATCCGCGTGCTCAAGGGCTGGCTGAAGGACGTGGGCATGGATGGCAAATACTCGGTTGAAAAGGCAGCCAAGATCAAGGAGCAGAGGGAGTTTGCGAAAGACCTCGAGGCAATCAAAGAGGGCGAAGCGGCGTGGGGAAAGGCAAGTGAAGTCACCGCTACGGGTCGACCAAGCCGAAGGGCAGCAGCAAAACCTGTACCACAGCAGAAGGTTGTACTGGAAGACGATAGCGAGGAAGAGGCTGGCGGCGATGATAACGAAGACGACGATGACGATGATGACGACGATGTCCAGGGCGAATCGGAAGACGAGGAGGATGATAAGAGCGGCGACAGCGGAGGTGACGACTCCGAATGAGCTATATCTGCAACTTCTAATGTCATTCGCCGCGCTTGCATACGCTTGTCATTGTGGAGCGTACGACACCACATCTAATACATGCGCATGGTTTAGTCGGGGCGTAGTAGGTCGTTTGATACCCACAAAAGCTGTTCTGATCTTTTTCAACCCGAATTTGTGCATTTTGTCACAACCTTCAAGACTACATACCCGGGAACTCTTGTTGACTAAAGGAATGGAATAGTCTTGAAACAAGTCATAACAAAAACACACGATAAGTGTCGACAGAACGCGACGCGCAAAAGCCTATGCAACAACACTGATCCACGAGACCTCAAGCCACTGCGATATCTCTCGTGCAATTACCTGGGATATAGTTGTGTTCCCTTTTGTTCCTTTGTTCTCTCAAAGTCTCATCCATCTCATCAGCCCCTCTGTCTCTTATGCTGACACTGTTCTTTCCATCACTTACCCGATGAACGCTTCGCTCTCGTAGACGCCGCATCCGGAGGTGCTGGTGTGGTACTCGCACTGCGTGTCATGGCACGCGTCTGCATGCGGTGCTGTGGCGTCGTTGGCTGCGGCGGAAGGGGCGCAGGAGGCGACTGAGGCGATGATGCGGAGTCCACATAAGACGATACAGAAGACAAAGACGAACTATCTGGAGATGGAGGCGAAGATGGTAGAGGAGGTAGGTCCGCTAACGGCGAACCTGGCGCTGATGGGGGATTGTGCAACTTTGCTTTTACAGGCGTTGCAGATCTAGAGGAGGAAGAGTCGGATGATAGACTGGTCGTGCAGCTTCGCTTCATGGGAGGGTCGGAGTGTTGTTTATCTTCTTCCTCGTCACTGCTGATGCTTTTGTTGTCTTCGCTTGAGTCGCTCGATAACGACTTGCGCTTACGTGATGATGGTGAGGAGGAGCCACTGATGGGTTGACTTGCTCCCGCGCTTTCGTTCTCGCATTTGTTCGGAAGAGCTGGAAGGGATGGCGAGGATGGAGGAGACGCACTAGATGAATGAGACTGGAATGAACACTCTGCGGCCGATACGGGTGGGGAGGAGGGTATGCATAGGTATGGTGATGGGTCTGAGGACATGTCGACGCTCTCGACCCCAATCGCCTTAGTTTCGGCCACTTCATTGTTCAAAAGTGTGTCATCTTCTTCGTCTGAGTAATCGAAACCAAAGCCGCCTGTTGGTTGATATGTCGTCTTCGTTGGCGCAGCCTGAAGCTCATCTGTAGGCTTTGTCGGTTGCTCATCCATCTCCTTGACAGCAGTCTTGTCTTCAGCTTTGGTAACAGCGAAGACAATATGCGGCTTCCCGTCTTTCCAAACGAGCTTGTTACCCTGCTCATCTTCCACATCTATACCCATAACGTTCTCATCTTCCGGAAACGCGACATGTACTGCTTCGATTTCACGGGACGGTTCGTCGTCCAGTAGTCCTTTCAGTGACTCTGGATCGAACGCCAGGTGGTGTATGTTCAGAATGCCACGCTCCTTCCGCGATGGTTTCATCTCCGAGTTCTTCTCCTGTTTCTCGGTGCAAGCTTGCGGCACGTCTTGATCCTGTTCAAGCTGCTGAAGGGTGGCTTTGGGAATAGTAAAGTTGTTCTCGTGGAAATGGAAAGCGATCGGAGGGACTTCAAGATGCTTATCGGTAATCATACATTTGAGCATGTTGCCAAAGAACTGCAGTCGGGCTTCGCTACCGTTGAAGTGTTCTTCCGGTCGGGACGGCTCATAGTTGAGGAGGCACTCGAGAACGATTTGGAAACACTCTAGTAACGTCGTTGCTTTCTTCGCCTTGTCGCGCAGGTACACGAATGTCTCTACGAACACCTTGTTTGGAGCGCGCTGTTGGATATAACTGCCCATGACTGGAAAGAGTTCTGAGCAGTACTTGAAGGTAGTGAAGTGTTTTTCCACGTCTGGTGCGCACAGAAGGGCGCGAAGCTCGGGGTCTGTGATATACGAGAGCGCAAGCGGATTTGATGGTAGAGCTTTGAGTTGTTGGACAACCTCCAGGCCAGCAGCATGCTTTGCATCGAGATAGATGGCTAGATCCTGCAGCTGCTTCGTCTCATCTTCATCATATGAGCCTTGATCTTCTTCTTTGGCGTACGCATGAGCTTGGACGACATCGTCCATTTCACCGCGTTCGATTGGTTTAGCAGCGCGTGCTTCGGCTCGGCAGTCATCGCAGTAATCAAAGAAAGTATTCTCGGCGGCAATCGGGGTTTCTGTGTCGTCAGTCGGGACACAGTTCGCAGGTGCACAGTCGACGCCTTGGACCAAATGTATTTCTTTCGCGTTAAAGCAAAGAGAGGTGTGCTCGGGCTTCGTTGAGAGCGCGGTGTGGGCGCACTCGCTGTATGTAATGCATGTGAAGCCGCACATCGTCGACAAAATCGAGTGGCTGACTAGAGGTTGTGTGTGAGATTGTCTGAGAATAGGCGTAAAATAATAGGCCTAGGGTGGTGTAGATTCAGGCTGCTGTAGTAGTGGAAGCTAGTGTGGTATAGTCGGACGGAAGAAGAGTGCAACCTATTCGTCTTGGCAGGATCGAAGAAACACGTTGGTGTAGTTCGAAACAATTAAGTACGCTGCTGCACCCTTTTCAGTGCACGATGTCGAACGAAATAACGGGTGGCGTGGGGAGGGAGTGAAAGAATTCAACTATATACATTGTGGGAACACTCCGCAAACCGAACCTATGTACATAAAGACACCATTCAGCTCTGACGCATTACCGGACAAACACACGCCTTTTGCAGGAAGATAGAGCTCTATTGCATAGAACTAAGTGTTTGCTGTGAGACAAGCGCGAGCCAAACCAGACATCGCAACATCTCACTTCTTGTTTAAAGCATTGACCTTCTTCGCATGCTCGTAAACAAGCTGTTTGGCCTCCGCATCTTCCAGAAAGATCGTAAATCCGTCGTCGTGATTGCTTCCATAGGAGTAGCCAGAGTAGCCAAATTGCCAGTACATATCCGGCATCTTCTCCTTCAGACTGGTGGCCTGCCATAGTCCGATGGCTTCAAGTCTTGTGACATTCGAGGTCTTGCTGAGGTATTCTTGCCTCTTATCGTCGGTCAGCCATCCATACTCTTCGTGTACGACCGGCTTTCCAACGGCACGGGAGGCTTCGGCGTGATCGATGATCCATTGGTTTGCCCATTCGACACTCTTGGACCACCCTATCGCAAGTCTAGTCAGTGTAGCTCAAAGAATGGTAGTGTTGATGCTTGTCGAATGAGATATACGTACAATCGGGATAGGTATGAAAGGTACCGAAGTCAATGTTCTTAAGCGCCAACTCCTTGTCGTAGTCGCCACCATCGTATCCATTGTAGAAGCCATCGTCACTAGGCCTGTTGAACCCTCCTTCACCACCCCATGTAACAAGATGGTCCTTGTCGAGTGACTTGACGTATGTGCTCATCTCATCGATCCACTCGGTGATCATGTCAGGGGTGCAGTTCTCGCTGCGCGGCAAGTTGCGCACACCATCAGCACCGCATCGTGGTTCGTTCGCCAACTCCCACGCCATAATGGCTGAAGACTTGGCGTAGCGCTTGACGATCTCCTTGACGTACTTCTTGTACGCCTTCTTGATGGCTGGGACATGATAGAACTAACGAAGGTTATGTTAGTCTATGATCATATAGGCGAAGACTGTGTGACTTACATCGTCATGGTACTTGTAGCCGAGGTTGGTCGTGTAGACATCCATGCCACCATAGTCGGCCCAATTGTTCGTCAAAGCAACGATGAGCTTCATGCCAGTTTTCTCCGCAGCCTTCACGACTTTGTCGAACGGTACTAGGTTGATCTCCTGTGTTCCGTTGCTCCACCATTGCATGATGTTTGAACTGGGACCGGCACCTTCGCCACCGTACTGTGGTAGTCCGTTCGCGAGTGTTGTTCTGTTCCGGTCGTTGAAGCCCCATGTCCTGAAGACGTTGAGTCCAGCCTTCTTAGCGGCACCCAGGCCAGCCTCTACATCAGATTGGAGCTGTGAAGTTTCAGTAAGTGTGGAAACTCTGAAGTGAAATATACTTACGTCGTTGAAGGGAAAGTAGTAGGCATTGCTGCCTGCGAAGTAGAAATCTTTTCCGTCTAGTTTGAAGGCGTTGCCTTTGGCTGTGACAAAGCTAGCGGGTGCTTTCCTGCTAACTACTGCAGCCGAAGTACTAGTAGCTAGCAGTAAAAGCGAAGCAAGACCGTAGAACATCTTGGTCGGTCTCTCTGCTTGAGTGTGCTTCCTCATTTTCTACGCGTATTGCAAAGATATGTACCGTTTCGGTTTCTGAGCATTTTGACGCTATACCACACTGGACACGGAGAGCCATCTCACGAGATCATCTTGCACTCCGCATTAGTCTTCCCCGCGATATATTGTGATCGCAATGGCCAAGCATCCGATCTGGCTGCTGATTGGTGCAAATGGACTAATTAAAGCTTCCGCACGTGAACCAGATCTTCCAGAACATTGGTATCCGGGGAGACCTACCAAGAAGTATGGCAAACTGAGTACGTGGAAGAACGGGCCTGTAGCCATTGCTCACAGCAATTTGCATCTCTTGGAGCTCCAGGCCACGTGCCGAAGTAAATTGTTGCTAGCATGAGGATTAGTTATCACTCTGGCTCTAGTACCCTTTGAACCCGGAGGCACTCTTGCCATGCCATTGATCGGGTTGGCGAGGTCTCTTGGTTGCGGATAGCGCAACGGTCCAAGTATGAGCTTTGTTGCGTCCTGTTTGCCATGGGCGCTCTGAGCTACGTATCATTCCTTCAGCCATCATGGCAGATGCGCGAGCGGTCAGCAAGGGCGAAAATGCTTGTAGCAGCGAGGCGCGAGGCTGTCGTGAAAGCCTTCCTATGTACACCGCGTGTTTTTAAGTGCATTGCTCTGGATATTGTTCGTATAGGTTGCGACAGGTCTGCAAGCGAACGGGTTGTGCATTAACCAGGGTCGCTGATACTATATAACGCGCGCAATGACGCGACTTTCCACGTCGCGTGATAGACTAGAGACGAAAAGTTGACTATCGCGTAGCGTTGAGCTGTACGAGAATGTTCGAACGAAAACATAAGATGATGCAAACCCTCGTATGAGGAAGTAAAGACTGATAGGGGTCAGAACACGTACCTTGGACGGTGCTGGACCAGAACGTCGTCATACGCGACGACATTGACCATCCCTCCATGCCAGTTATCTCCTCAGCGCTCAATAGACCCACTCCGCCTAAGAGTCGCGACTAGAACGCGTTCGTTTCTGTTGCAGGCACACCTGGGCATCTCAATTGTGCCTCGTGTTCATGACGCAATGATGGCTGGGTTCGAAAGTAGCTAACGCGCCAAGACCCGTGATTCGGCGCGAAGTGGAGCGAAGCTTCCTCTCGACCGCCACGACGAAGTGTTCGACTGTGTCATCACGAAAACACCCACGAATGCTGTCTCTCTACAGCACTTCGCGGTCCTGAACAACTGCTAGATCCACAGGGGCGATATCCAGGCTATTTTTCCGGACTGACTACGTTTCCGAGCCGGCTAATTTTCCGGACTGGCCACATTTCCAGACTTCGTGCGCGCGTATATCAGGAGCGAGGACATATACGGCAAACGCTCCGCAGCACTGCTCATCTCTTCCACAACATACTCTTTGGTTTTGCGTATTCTTTTCATTGTGTTGTTGACCCGATCGTCCAAGTCGCGCAATCCGAGGTCCGCTTGTCACGCGGCATGCCGGCATGGCTGGTCGATGCGATGGCCTTACGAAATACGCTGTCAGATCGCGTGAAATGAGTAGCTTGATTCACGATCACAAAGAGAAGGAACGCTGTTGAGTATGAGCGAAAGAGGATTGCATTACTTAAGATTGAGCTCGGAAGAATTCGGAGATTTCAAGACCGCTATATTAAACCGGGGAGACAGCATCTAAACTTTGGACTCATCTGTTCGTCCGAGCGAGTTCGGGTCGACATTCTCGGCCTCATCGTACGACTGACCATCTTCGTCTTTGATCCCCGTTATGTGCGTGACAACCTTGGCTGCGAAAGTATCGCAACTGACGTTCATTGCAGTTCGGAAGCGGTCGAGGAACCAGTCAATAGCGATGACGACGGCGTACATTCCGGTGATTGGGATGTTGACACTGGAAGCAATCATGACAACCAAGACCAAACTCGAACTTGGAATAGGTGTGGTTCCGATCGAAGCGAGAGTCGAGAGAAGAATAACAATGATGTAATCGGCAGCGTTCAGGGTGATGCCTTGAGTGGCGGCCAAAAATACGACGACGATCGGGAAATAGATCGCAGTACCATCCATGTTGATCAAACAACCGAGAGGTACGGCAAATTTGGTTACTAACTGTGTGTCAGTGATCGCGATCGACTACTTATAACCATGGAGACTGACCTGTGATGGGAATACCCTGCTTCAAAACACAGCGAATGGTAACAGGCAAGGTCGCAGCGCTGGAGGCGGTTCCCCAAGCGGTAATCCATGCTGGACTCATCTTCATCCAGAACGTGTACGGGTTGGATCTGGTGATCGCGAAGAAAATGATGGGAATTACAATGAAAAGGTGGATGAACATGCCGACCAAGGTACCGCCAATCAAAATACCCAGGTTCGTCCCAATCTCAGCAATATCGAGACGGAACAGATTCGGCATGATCAAGAAGAACACTCCAATAGGCGCAAGGTGGATCAAAACTGTGATGACCTTGAGGACGATAACTTCGACTTCTTCGACGGCTCGATGAATTGCACCTCCTGGCTTGATGACATATCCAAGGACGACGGCCGTGACAAGTACCGAAAGGAGGGCATCGGTCGCTAGGGCGTTGACGATGTTGTTGGGAACCAACGAGAAGAACATGTCTTCGACGACATCGTGGATGGCAGTTTCTTTCCTTTCGTCCACAAGCTCCTTGTTCTCGTCGTCCAGATCCAGAGCACTTCCTGAGACTGGGTTCATGAGTTTACTCCAGACCAGGCCGACTAGCAGGGCAGAGTGTGCGACAGCGATGATGGTGGTGATGACGTAGTAGCCAATTGTCCAGCGAGCGAGTTTACCCGCTGCACCTCCTCCCTGTGTCATGTTGCGCAGACG